GCACGTTAACGCAATTTGGTAATATTTGGTTTCTCGTTGTGTCAAGCTTCCCTTTTTATGAATGATGAAGGAATCAGAACTACCATTTCACTAAAGAAGGAACAAAAACCCAGCGAGTTCATCCAAAGGGAAGCGCGTAAACGCACTCTACCTTCTCTGGACTAAATGCCTTTTTACAGCCAAAATTTCCTTTTCACTGTCATAGGGTCCTGATCAACTTCAACGTTTGTGTTAAACTATCAACAGATACAAAGTTGCCTAAAATTACGAATACATCCCGTATGCCCTCGAAATTTTTTACAGATATTCTGAAACTTTTTATCTTGTTTCAGCATTAGATTGTCCCAGGGATCTGTATTAAGGCGCTGACGCAGAATGGCTGGTAGGTACGTATTCGTGGGGATGTCACTCAAAGAACCTCTAAAGTAAAGTTCTTCCGAGGAGGGCATTGCGTGACATTACTAAAAATGGCTGCGAAGTATATCAAAATCGTCATAGATTCCTTTACTTAAATCTTCAAATATTTGAATACAAACACTTCGCCAAATCGCCAGAGCATTTAAATTTTGGAAACTTCCTGATTGAAGTAAACCTCGTATAAGTTTGGACTTTTGTGAAAACTTGGATGGATAAAAAAACGCGTGGATGAAAATCCATAAATTGCAAATACGAAAAGGCCTATAAGGAAACTATAGCTATGAGGAATGAACTCAATGGTTAGAGCAATTAAATTGTTCAGGAAGCTTCAAAAATTCTATACACGGAACACTGACTTTTTCTCTCTGCATTTGTAAATTCCAGATGTACTTGGCGACGATACAAGAGCAGATTACATTAACTTTACTTTCAAGCCAGTTACGCAGAATTCGAATTCCGTTTATGCGTAATTAAAAAAAAAAAAAAAAGAAAAGTCTAACTTGTTTCCAGGATCCCTTTTCTCTTCCTCCTGCTGAGCGGAGAGAGGGACTGGCTGAAGGTTAGAAGAGGAACCCTGGAAACGAATCGGGCTGGTACTTCAGGAGAATCTAGAGCATCATTGAAAGCTTTGGAATGGAACGATGGACTCGGTTTGGTTTCACGCAGAATTCGAACCGTGTAATTGTGGTTTATGTCTCTATGATCTCCTGAAGGTTCACTGAATGTAGAAATTTGAATTAGTTTACGCAATGTAGCAATTTGTTTTAGGCGTCTGAAAGTTGATTTTTAATATGAAATTTAAATGTAAACACGAATAAGGCATTTTTACAACTTCCATTAAAAGTAAAGTGAAAAATGAAACAAGAGTTTTCTCTTTGTTGGTTTAAATTGATCGCTTCTTCACATACAGTGGTCAAAGTTTTTTTGATGATCTGCCATTCTTTCCGAACCAAAATTTTTTCCTAAATGCAATTTGCTCATCTATCATCCCCGTATTTGGTTTTCGTTTGGTTTTATTTCACTGCGTTTTCATTTTTTTTTTTTTTTATATTTTTTTCCTTTATAAAACCTTAAGTATTAAAATCGACCACTTTGAAATATGTTAAAAAATATATTTCTTCCATTTTAAAAAAGGATGCAAAGGTTGAACTAATTTGTTCTAACGAGACATCGAAAAAAAAAGGCTCAATTACATGGACTATGTAAAACATTCATGTTTTATATCATTAGCAGAAAGAATAATTCTTTAAAATTTCCAAGTCATCAACGAAATGCAAATCACAGTCGAGGGAGCCGTCCTTAATGCAACGAAAAAACTTGAATATGCAATGGTTAACAATTTGTTCCCTCCGCCATCAAGTAATTCATTGCCAGTGTGCAGTAGGCAGCTTATACTTACGCGTGCTTCCTTGGAAGGGAACAAATATAGCGTCCCTAGACTGAGCCCTGCAAAGTTCTGTCCGACATTAAATCAGCAGAGATCAACTGGCTTAGATATAAGACTTGGGAAGGTTAATACATAAGTGTCTTACAACATTTGAAGTTATCGGCTTCAAGCATTCATTGGGTTTGGCTTTTAGAATTTAGATGGTGTGACCGAAAAACAAAAAAAACTTTTGTTGAATTCACAACGTTTGTGCTGCGTGAAAGGTGCACTTCGTTATCATCAGGCACATTATCATAAATACTATGTATCTCCTATTGCCAGGGAAAAACTGTCCTCGATCAGAAGATTTGAATCGAGAACCTTTGCTTACTTCAATCGGTGGGATCATTTGGAGCAGATATACTCAGTTTCTTTTTTTAGTTGCACGAGTTGCGCAATCAGTAACTTCCACGGGAAGAGTTTTTCATTGTTTTTTTCTTTTACTGAGGATCTGATATTGGATTTCTGAGCTTGGAAAAGAGGATTCCTAGCCAAAAGAAAGAAAATCAGTACAGTCGAACCTCGATTATCCGGACTCATCGGGACCTCGGTAAATAGTCCGGATAATCGAGAGTCCGGATAATCGAAAATATGAATATTAATGAGATAGAAATGTGAAACAATTATCTGCTTATCTTTAATCAATAGAACGGCTAGCTTTCGCTTCGTAGGCATGTTTTTGATTTGAGTTTACGATCGATCGCTCGTGTGTTTACATAACCCACGCGGAAGGAACCAAACAAGCATGAAATTCCCTTGGCAACAAAACAATTAAGCCAACCATATTTCAGCTGAACGCATCAGAATATTTCTTTGTCTCGTCGCACTTTCGAATTTTGAAAAGCGCACAGGATAATACGCTGTTTCAACAGTCTTTTGAAAGGATTATTGGGCTTTTTGCGACTTTGAGTTTTCAAGATCACAACTAATTAATATTCATGGAAAAATTGGGACCAATTATCGAGTTTCGACTGTACAAACATTTAGCATCTAGAGCTTGGACTCCGTCGGCTATTTCCACTGAAAGAATCCGCAACAAAATCATTATTTTTACTAGTGTTCTGGTAGCACACTGAATTCGAACTGTGTTACTGACGTTTATGTCCGTGATCTCTTGAAAGTTCAGCGAATGTAGAAATTTAAATCAGTATTGTATTAGGTGTCTGAATCTTAATGTTCCAAGTGAAATTTAAATATATATACGACGAAAGCGTTATGAGAAATTCCATTAAAAGTGATGTGAAAATGAATCGATTTTTGTATTGGTTTAAATTAATTGATCCTCCACTGTAATCAAGGTTTCATGGATTATCTATGATACTTTCCAAACCAAAATTGCTTCATGAAATTTCACCGGCCCATCCATCATAGCCCTATTTTGCTTTCAGTTGTCTTTTTCTTAATGCTATTTTACATTTTAATTCTTTTTAAAATCCTTCGCTAATCAATCAATTCTCCGACCACTTTCAAATAACTCTCTGACTTTCAGATTAATTTGAAACTTCGATTTGTTTTTGGTGGAAAATGATACAACTGCTGTTTTTCAGTCAATTTACAACTAGTAAACCCCTTCAGAATTTTTTTCTTGTAAAAAAAATGTATATATATATAAAAACAAAAGGAAGGTAGAACAGGCCTTAATTAGCATGACAGGAAAAAACATCATACATTTTCTATTATAAAGGAAACGAAATTTGCATCATACGTAAATTCCTGTTTTTAAACCAGATGACGATTTGAAAGCGTTAGTTATGCTATAGTTAGTTTGTATTCGTGTAGTCAATGTGCATCGGTATAGCCTTGTTTCCTAACAATTCCTAGGGTAGTGTTCTCTTGCCTCTCCTCTAAGTCTGCCATTTTCCTCCTTCGGACAACCGGATGCAAATTCGGTCATAGCTGTGTTCGTCTCAGAGAGAGTCTACGGTATTTCGATTTGTCTCACCGGTTTGATGTAAAAATGATGATTGAACATTGAAGTAAATGGCTTTTACTATAGTTTCCTCGCTCCCCCCAGCGAGCAACCTCAGTATAATTTTCTGGAACAGTTATGTCATAGAGATGAGGGGTCTTTCATTGGAATGCTTAAAAAGTCTTTTGAATTTTGCTTATATCCTGAGTGAGGGTGCGAGCCTTCGCTTATTAGTTTTTACTCTACGCAAGGTTGTTTCACGTTGGAACCGTCTCTCCAAGCTTTACATATAACTTTTTTTTTATTATAGTTTTTCGAGAAAAGGTAAGTTAATTCTCTTGGTTGTTAAATTAAGCGCTAAAAAAAAGAATCTAGTAATTCATACAAACCACGAACAGATCACGTAATTGAATGCGAGAGACCACTGAGTTTTCCATCGCTAAGAGTTGGTCGTTAAAAGAACTGTTCAGACAATGGAAGATAGGAAAGATAATAACGTGGCTTTTTGAACGAAAAAATGGGGTAATAACTAATTTCTTCCTACAGCAGACAAACATGAGAAAAATTCCGCTAAAATACGGTAACTCATTGAACGGTTAAAAGTTCACTCCAGTCCAAGTCTTCAGTTTCTTGATCAAAAAATAGGGCTGGAAAATTCATGTCTAGAACTGAATGAAAATTTCAATTTTCCCCTCCTTGATTATAATAAGTACACAGGTAACAAAAAGATTTGATAAAAATCTGACTGTCGTCGATCAGTTTATGGTGCGTGAAAACTTAATTGAAAAAAAAAATAATAAAGAGAGCCAAAGGGAAACTGACTGGGCAAATTTTATGAGACGTTCGGAGAAAACTAGCTATTCTCAAACTCGCTGAGCAAAAATCAGGAGTCTTGGATCACACTAGCTTCTTCTTTAATAAAACACTGCCTTGCCGGTTACAAGCAACGGGCTTAAATTCTTATCTAGTTGCAACTGTGTTTCCTTATATCGCTAGCAGCGCCCGTGGGCCATACGACGCGAATCCTGTGTTCTGATTAGCTACCCGAGCGGGCAAGACGAGCCCATCTTTCGCGCTCAGGATTGTTCGCTTTGATCCCGTGTAAGGAGTGGACTTACAAAGTCCGTAGTTCTTGGACAGTGTCGCCGATAAAGACGAAGAAAGCGGCAGAAGACAGTCAAAACAAAGAAAACATAAACAACTCTAATGGGTTTTTTGTGCTACAAACAAAGTTGGCTTTCTTTCTTAGCTCTCAAAACAAACAAGCCATTCTTGATTCTTGATACAGCGAGATCTCTTTTAAAGAAGAACGTTGAATCGTTTGTCTCATGATGTAAGAGTCAGGATAATTAATAGTGTACTGATCACGACATTTCCAACACTATACCACTAGTCTTCGTCAGAAGTTTGCGTATCGCCGTTTGTAGCGCCTTGGTTAGTTGTCATTGTGGGTTTTGGTGCACTGTCATTAAGGGCCTCAAGCAGTCAGGACGACAACGCCAAGGAAAACTTCGATTGAAAAATGAATTTCTGTCTTAATTAGCATTAAAAAATGGCTGCATTTGTTTACCGTCTCATACGGCGCCACACCTCAGCTTCCAAATGGAAATTAAAATAATTTGCCGTCCCGGTTTCGTTTCGCAGACGACGTGCTGAGCTATTGCTCTGCTAATTAGTTCTTTTGTTTTTCCATGTCCTCGTTACCATCGCCGTTGTGGTTTGCTTAAGGCCACTATTGGTGCATTTCAACTCCATTATTATTCCAAGTATTACATGTTCTTTGCTTTGTTACTGATTGGCTGATTTAAAGCTCTCTGGATAGTTAACATCAACACTTCAGGAATTTCGATCCTGCTATCTCTATTTATGTTATTGATGAAGGATGAAGTCTCGTATACAGACGATTTCTTTAACCATACGTGTGCACCAATGAGAGTCTTAATCAATAAACTGAACTTAACGTTAACATGGTCAAGTTCATTGGACCTGTCATTTTTTTTCTTAGGTGTTACAGAGGCGAAGGTGACTGAGATACATGGCGGATACAAAGGTTTTTATTTTTTTCGTTAGCTTGGCTTGGGCAATCGGCGCATTTGGGAGGCCAGTAGAAATTTCGGAGGAAAGAGACATTGTGGTAAGTTATCCAACAGTTTATCAACAGTAAGGGCATGTTAATCTATCTCAGGAGAAGGCTAGTAGTGTATTTGCTTAAATCATCCCTGTTACAGAGAAAGTCTGAGGCCCACTGGTTGCGTAAAACTGTGGTTTGGATTGGAACTCATTGAAATAACCGGCACAAAGAGTGACCTTTCAAGCGTTTGCCCTTCGCCACTGGAGACGAAGGGCCAGAGCTCAGAACCTCAGCTTTAGAAACTATTTATGGTGGCAGATTTATAGTAGCAACTCAGCTGATAATTAAAAAAATATTTACCGAAGTGGAGGTGGCAAGCGGTGCATATTTACTAAGCTGGAAATGTTTAAATATATAAAATTATATTACAATAGTGAGATGATAGAGCACTTAAAGATGATTTTAATTCACTTATTCCTGCAACGATTGCAATGTTTTTGGGTGCACATCCCGGTCAAATTTCTCGAAAGTAAAGACAAAGGATATTTAGAGTTTAAGTAGCCAATCAGAGCGCACCTGCAACGCTATCCACTGATTTAGTGATGCAGTATAAACTAAAACCAAATTATCTTGTTGAATCCCGTCCCCCCCCCTCCCAACCGACGCAACACAACAGTTACAGTTATTCTTTAGAAACTTGCCTCCTTTATCCACTTTCGTTTCTCTTAAGGATGCTGGATTTCGAACGATTGACGAAGATGGAGATGGTGTTGTTACGTCAGGAGAGTTGATGATGGGGCTTAAAATGCCGGCGGTGAGAGCAAACAAATATATGGTTGCTTTTGACATGAATAGAGACGGAGGGCTTCAACTTAGCGGTAAGACAGAAACTAAAATTCATACATGCTAAAAAACATTCCCTTTCCTCAGCGTAATCCATCACACAAATCTCAGCAGAAATAAAATGACATTCTCTTTCCCAGAGCCACTCGGTTGCTCTGACCGACGACGGAACCGAAACAAACGAAGACTAGAGACGAGAATTAGGTCTCAGGACTGGAGCGAGGTGCGCGAGACTATTTTCGCGCACCTTGTGTCCTTGTGCCTTAGTGACGCCGTTTGTTTATTTTTTTGTTTTGGTTTGTTTATCAATACGATGCCAATTTCTATTGACTCCCATGACAGAATTTGCTGTTTAAAATTTGTCATGTCCAAAAATTCTCCACAAATTGATCTGGCCTATAAAATTGCAAAACTAATTACACCTTCAAATTTATTTTGCAGAATTTTTAAATATACCCAATACATGAACTGCAGTGCCATGATTACACCTCAGTAAATGGATGCAGTTTAAACAGACGTAGTGGGGAACTGACCACAAATGGCTTTACATACCTTTACGTGGTGTAAAACTTTAAACTTCATTTGGTTGTAATAAATGCAATTGTTTGGGAGGAGATGTTGTCTGAACTTTGATTTCAATGGTTTTAGCCCACAAACCTGTCAAACATCAACATAGCCAGGAGCTAAAAAATTCAAAAGCGCGAGCCGTGTCTCGTAATCCTGCTGACGTTATAAAACAAATGCTTAGCCTCGAGACCGCGCAGTTTGCGCACAGTTTTGATCGCGAGTGCTGAGAGTTTCAAGGTGGTTTTTCCGTTCCATCCCGGTCGAGAAAGACTTTTAAGAGCTCTTAAAAGCGACTGAAAGAGCTTCCGAGCTAACGACTCCCAAACGTGATCCGAATTATGGATGGGAAATGAAAACTGAAGTTGCTGACCAAAGTGGACTTTCGCCAATTTGGGACCATTCTTTTGCCCGGTAAATAATTTTTTTGAGGTTAGATATACCATTAGATATACCCAGTTTTTTTTTTCTGCGATTACTTGAATCGCAACATTGTATTCTATCATCACTTGATCATTTCCTTTCTTCTGACCTTCCCAGAATGTATAGTATATCCTCAACAAAAGAACTGAATGAACACTTCCAATGAAATTACGATCGTTACCAATTAAACACAACTACATACACATCAAAATTTGGTACAAATTTATTTCTATAAAAGTGAAAATTTTAGCATTATTTACAAATTACACACCATCACTAAAAACATTTACGTAATTCAGATGATAGCAGGCAATAAAATAAATAAAACTTCATTTGGTAATGTTGTGGTAGTTTAACTATGCAAACCCCAGGCCCCGGTTGTTCAAAGCTGGGTTAAGGTAACCCAGGGTTAGTGTGAAATTTGATTTCAGGTCTGAAAACTTTAAGAGAAAATTCAGTTCAAATCTTTTTGCTTGCAATTTGATCATTGGATGTTCTAAAAAGAATAGTGAAAATTTTCTCAAAAAGACTTTTGAACAAAGAAATAAAGAAAGCTGGATTAAAATTTAACCCTGAGTTAGAGCTAATCCGCCTTTGAACAACTGGGCCCTGCAGATCTAAAGATAAATTCTCCCATCTGTTTGCCATACATTTCTTATAGTTTTAGATCTGAGAAATTTGTATGAAATCAAGCAATACATTTCTGTTTGAAAATGTATTGATATCTTATGAAAAAATTTATATTCTGTAACTCCTGGGAGTGAGGAGGTCTAGAATCAAGTTATATAATTTCCTCACAGTCAATTGCTAAATTTTAAATTAAATTCTTATTCCCTAACCAATTAGGAAAACCATTTCAATGTCCTTTTGCTAATCCTCATCTCTACAGGATAAATATTGAAACATTTTGATCAAATATCTGTTACAATTACTACTATCATGTCTCATTGATACAAAGTCAAATAAATATGCTCAATTTAAGGGATCTAATTATTCTAAAGACACATTAATTTTATATGATTTACAACAGAGGAATTTTTCAATTAATGTATATCTAAAGCAAGGTGTTTTCTCTTCTAACTTCTTGATCAAGATATGATTCATTTCTTCTAAACTTTGTTGCACTGCAGCAAATGTGTGCAGTAACTGAGTAACTGTATGATCAGTAACAGATCCAGACCTTGAACTAAGGAGGGGGGGTGGACCCCTGGGCCCCTTCCCTAGATCAGCCACTGATGATATCAACTCTACCATTACAGTATTTCCACTTCATGTTTATTCTCCTTCTCAGTCTTCACTTAACACTTTAACTCCCAGACCAAATTTGTAATTCTCCTTACTGTCAACCATACAATTCTTATGTTAGTTCAGAGAATTTAGTATTGGATCAACTAATCATCCCCAAATTGATGGTTTTCTTTGTTCTCATCACTTATGTGGTCGATATCGTATTGATATTGTTAGGAGAAATTCTGTCTTGGTCACTCATGGGAGTTAAAGGGTTAAATTAACCTTAACATTTATTTAGAAAAAGTATTGATAATGTGAGAACCACTCTTTAGACCAAGAAAGATCACAAAAAAAAAAATAAAGTGATAAAAAATTGCCATCAATATTGTCACTGAAAATATCAACACTATTAATCAAAACTATAACAAAAATTGCAGAACGTGATTAGTTAGCCATGCTTGTAACTGGACAGTGTAATAGGACGATTGACATGTCATGCCTGTGTAAGTGGACAGTACACTTCATGTACGTGCATGTGCTGTTGTCACGCATTTCGCTAAGTTAAGTATTGTTCTTTTTTTAATGAAAATGTATAACCAATGTCTAGTTTCTTTCTCAAAGTTTGTCATAGTTTTGATTCATTGGAAACAGAACTTCATGTCATCATGCTAACTAGATACTGGCCTATATCACAAGAAAGTCACCTTCAGCCTCACTCCAAATCAAAGGCTTGGCAACTAAGTACACAACCACAAATGGCCTACCTTCCATGAAGAGACAACACTTGATGAATCAAAATTAAATCAAGCTTTAACAGGAATTCAATTTTCTAGCAAGTGTGCAAACCAGTGCAACATCAAAAGACATATTCCTCCCAAAAGGAAGTTACAAGATGAAAAGCTGGTTGTTGAACTTTTTACAGTTGGCTCTTTATCTCGTGGTATGGGTACCTCCTTCAAATCATGAGGAAACAAACTGTTACGGGCAAGACACCAGTCATCAACATCTGTGGCAGAAAATATCAGTAATTAAAGTTATTAGTAACTCAATAAGTAGAGGATGAAGTTTAGTGGAATAATATAAATTTTACTTTCTTGAAAAACACTACAAACTACAAAAGGAAAATTCAAACTTTCCCTGATCTATACTGTAGAGAGAGGTTCATCTCAAGGTTTGTTACCCTGTAAAGGACCTTCATCTCCCAGAGATATCAAAAAGATTTTGAAAGTAAGGAGAATTAAAATGAGATCTTGTAAGTGTAAGTGTCAGTTTCTTGTCTAATTTTCTCACCAGCTCCAGGGGGGCTTGGAGTTAATCTGAACCAGAACTGAACATCTGTATCACAGCCTTTTCCAGGGTCACAATAAAACTCAAATATCACATCATTTGTTGTTGGATCCCAGCATGCCAGACTAAGCGTTCCACCCTTTAAAAGCAAAGATCAATGAATCAGAATTTTTACGCCTGTTTAGTAATAGATCACACTGAAGTCAGAAAGGAGTAAGAAGAGGAAAGTGTTGTAGATCACAAATGCCTTGTTCTTTTTCTTTTGTTTACTGTTTTTATACAAATGACCCTTATTACAGTAAGCATTTTGTGTGCGCTGTGCAATGTAACATTACATAATGTAGCAAGTATTTAACTTAATTGTGCAACTAAGTTGTTAGTTTTACCCAGCAAGTCTGCTGGTGATCATATTTCATATTGTATTTCTTAGAAAATCATATTTCATCGTATCACATGTTGTGCAGCCTCTCCACCGTTTGGCAGTAATTCAGAAGAATTTCTATCAGCATCACAACAAATGTAAGTTTTGGTATTGTGTAGGCTTCATTATTATTTTCATTGCAATTTTCCTGAGTGTATTTAGTTTAAATTGTAATTAGGTTTTCGCTTGTTATTTTGTTTGCAGTTTTAACTGATCCTACCAATTGGTATCAGAAATTGTTGGGATAGAATATATCATTAAGTTGTGTTAAAAACTGTCTGTTTTCTTTGCTGAAAGTTAGTTGCCCATGGCAGCCATGAGTGGGACATGAGGTACAGCCAAGTGTGGCATTCACATTCTTACTACATTTGTCATCCTCTGTGGTCTACTACCATAAAAACCCACAACAAAAAACTGTTTTATATGATAAAAAAGCAAACTGTTTTTAATGGTGACATCATAGATCATGAGTAAAAACCAATTAAAATACCTTATGTAGCTAGCAGTGATTAACACCTAATATCTCCTTATAATATCATACCTGAATCACAGACTTAGTTCACGAGAATAAAGGAAATGATAAACTTACTAGAAGCTCTTGATTGTTAAACAAATTCTCCTCGTCAGAACCTTAGGAAATGTATAGAGTATAGTATGGAGAGTTTGCATACTGATGTTAGGGTGTAAAGGGTTAACTGGATAGGTGAACTCCAAGAGTGAGGGGGTGGAAGTTAGACTGAAAAGCTTCATTGTGAAATCCTACTGAAATTCAATGATCCAAGATAGTTGAACCCCACAATAAACCAAGAGTTGTTAAAGGAAATGTCTGCACAGAAATCATGAAACATGCACCGTTTATTACTGTTAGTAACAGTTGTAAAACACTGATTGAAAAATTCTTACCTGAGCACAATCTGTCTTTGGAGTAGGTTTGTTGTTATCTCTTACACTAATATATTGGAGGTAATAAAACATTGCCATATGTCAATAATGGTTTAAAATAACAGCTTGTTTACAACAATTAATTAACTTATTCAAATTGTATAACCAGTATCAATACAATGATGTAGAAGGTTATGCAAATATATTTACTGGTTAAAGTAATATACCTCTTGCTAAGTAAACTAAATTCTTGTATAGAGTAGCAGGGTAAGTTTCTAAAGAAACTGTGGTGTTACCTCAGTTGGAGAGAATAACAGGGAAATTTAGTATTATCAACGTGTTTATTACGTAAATTGGCCAAAGAGTTTCAAGCAGATGTTTTGAGTGTGAGCCCTTGGTCAGAGCGCATGATGAAGGCTAACACTGAAACATCAGCTTTAAAACTCTTTACAGTGGTCAATTTCAGTTATCAACTTGTTGATAGTACTAAATTATCCATTTAAGTTCTTGCAAAACCAGTATAAGTAGAAAAATGTTGAAGGTTATGTAAATATATTACCTTTAACTCCCAGCTCAAATTTGTAATTCTCTTTACTGTCAACCAAACAATTCTTATAATGTTAGTTCAGATAATTTAGTATTGGATCAATTAATTATCCTCAAATTGATATTTTCCTATATTCACATCACTTATCTGGTTGATATTGTATTGATATTGTAAGGAAATTCTGTCTTGGTCACTCATGGGAATTGAAGGGTTAAAGAGAGATTACAGGTTCTGTAATATTACCGGTAATATATCTTACTAACCAAGTCTGAGGTGAGTACTGTAAGTTATGAACCAGGGTTTTCCACTTGGATTTACGGCCCAAGATTCCAGGCAAAAAAACATAAGGTTCCTAACTTATACAAGTAGTACAGACTGAGGAAACAACATTTAACCCTTGAGTGACCAAGAGAGAATTTCTCCTTACAATATCAATACAATATCAATACCATATCAACCACCTGGCAGGTTAGTGATGAGAATAAAGAAAAACGTCAAGTTGGGGATAATTAGTTGATCCAATATTAAATTCTCTGAACTAACATTATAATAATTGTATGGTTGACAATAAGGAGAATGACAAATTTGATCTGGGAGTGAAAGGGTTAATAAGATATTAATTTCTCAGTTCGAATAAGAGGGAAAGATTTCAATTGAAAGGACCTTTGAATTTAGTGGGCCTCACATTGAGATACAACTCAATGAATAAAACAATACTAGGGCACATACTACCTGAGAGATATAATAATATCGCATTATCTTCAATATTCTTTTCACAATAGGCCATTTTCAGGAAGTGATCTACTCACCAAACAGTCTTTCCAGAAACACGAGTTTGAATCTGCCAAGTATTTCAAACCAAATCAGTCAAGCAAATTAAATAAGTATACATTGACTTCACTATAATCTTTTTATGCGATAAAATACAAAAGGAACCTCTCTACAATAAGGCCTAAGTTAATCATCTACCATAGCTATATATCTTTACTTTTAATGGTGCCTCCTGACTGTCTTGTATTATTTACAAAAATTAATCCCACAAATTCTCTACAACTACAATGTTTTTGTTCTGTGGTTGTTATGGCAAGTCTCAGCCATGCTTATTCTCAGTCAACAATAAATACTATTACTCCTTCATCTCTTAACAGTAAATTCTTTAAATATCTCTTCTTCACAGTCACTTTTTCACATTGGCCATGAGTTCTCTAAAACTACAAATTTTAGTTCCATCTTAACCCTTTCCGACTTAGTTGATATCTAAATTCCCCACAGATTTCTCTTTACATTTCCTGTGGTACTGCCAAGGATAATTTTTTTTTGACAATTGAGAGCTTCCTAAATTGGTGATCATTTCCTTTATTCTTGCAACCTTTACATTAGATTCAAGAGTGATGCTGTAAGGAGTCACTCTCATGGGTTAAAGCTTCAAGGGGGTTGTCACCAGTACTTACCATGACTTCCACATTTCTTGATGTCAAATTCCTCACATAAAAACATGGGTTTTTCACTTCTGATTGCACAGTAGGATAGTCTGCTTTTGCATACATATATCCCAGGGGCCTCTTTGTAATATCAGTTAATGAAGAGACATTTTTATCATACTGTTCAGGAGGAATTACTTTGAACTCCTTACAATCACTCAGTTGTAAAGATGATGCTACAACAAGAAAAAGAGTTGAAAGGGTAAGTTTAGATACATCAGGGTCAGTCAGTCTAGGTTTTTGTACAAGGTTGTGAAAGGGGGCAATTACAACCAATCTCACCATCAACAATACAAAAATCATGACGTTCAGGTTTGCCACAAAGTACAAATATGAAAAATATATCCAGTGCTAGATACTTCATTTGCCATTCCTTCTAACCCCATGAACACAAGCCTACTGATATCCATGAAAACCACTTCTTTTCTTAAATGCGATCAGAAACTATATATTGTGACCTCCCCTCTGAAAAATCTAAGCTCTGCCCTAGAGAGGGGGTTACTCTGGGAAAGGCATGCTTCTGGGTAAAATGATAGGAAAAAGAAGAAAATCTTGGCTCTAAAATATTGTAACGTGCCCACTTTTTTGAAAAACACTTCAACTACATTCTTTTCATGAGGGTCAAACACGCGCTCTTCAACTTCACTTGAAGGAAGTGAAGTTTTCAAGATATTAGATATGTCGGTAAACAAAACTCTGCAGAGCGGTTATCTGAAGAAATTGTTGTTCTCTAGTTCCCTTGGTTTAGATTTAATCCCCTTCATCTCGAATTTTATCACTTTCATAAGTTGCCCGTCTAAATCCAAAGGAAATTATATAAACAAGGATAAAAATAAACTTGACCTCAACATCATATTGGTGGGCGGCAACTAGAGTCGAATTAACCACATTCCAAAAGTTTTTTTTTTTAATATATATTTTAGATTGTGCATTAACTAAAATAATTATTACAACTCCAAATTCATCGCATCTAGTTTAACAAGATGCCGGTTATATGTTCAAGATACTTCATGATTGGATTTACTGCATGCAAGACGATGAGACACCGATCACATATCTAGTACCAAGAACGAACTTCTCGACAACTGAGACAACTCAAAACATTGCCAGATATGGAAATATTTATCGCCTTATAGATAATTTCTACCCCGTGCCAAAGATTCCTATGTAGCTGATTATATTAGGCAAACAGGGAATCTATAGTTTACTCATTGAAAGTAAAACAGCTCGCGCTTAAAAACGTTCCAGACTAATAATGTTAACTCACGACTAGCCAGCTGAGGTTGCCAACATTATTTGCTGTATGTTTACGGCGATCGCATCAAACTCCAGATAAAAATAAAAAAATTTCACTATGCAGCACGGGGTGTTAAATGATATAGACTCACCTGAGCCAACAAATACAATGAAGCTAGCAAAAGAAAAGAAACAGTCGTTCCATAACGAAACTTCCATGTTGCACAACGCTCGCGAAACCTCAAATGCATTTCGCGCGCGTTTGTCACGCTAGCTCCGCGCGACCTCGGTGGGTGCGATAAATTTCTTACCTAAGGTAGCATGAGGTTTTGTTTGCAAAATAATTCTATCAGAAAATCAAAACATTACACGAAAAAAACAAGATAGAAGTAAATTTTTGAGTGGAAGGTTGCAGAATATTTTGATATCAAAATAGCAGAAGCAGCCTTCCCGTGCCTTTCCCTGAGAGGACTGATTTTGATCAGATTACAGAATGTTTAGGTAACGGGCTTTTGTTTCGTGACCAATAGTTTCGTTTCAAAAATTCCAAAGCCATTTTCCTATAAAATAAGAGGTAAAACAACTACCAAGCTCTCTACAATTGCAGTTTTCGTTCTTTTTGCTAATTTTTAGGAAGAAATCGGACGTGAGGAAATTAATAGAAGGATTTCGTGACATCTCTTGCCTCCATATTTGGCTAAAGTATTGCAAACGAGGTTTACCTGGGTCTAGTTCCCGTCCAAGAAAGTTTGCAAAAAATTGCTGATAGCTTAAAATTTATCAACATTCATTCCTACGAAAGCGATCGATCACTTCTCTCACAGGCACCTCGTCTCAAAACATGACATATTGAATGAGAGAACCTCTCTATATTCCGTTGGGTTTTATTTTTTGTTGAGTAAATATTCGACAAACAGGACAGTGGAAGAAGGAGGAGAAGAAAACAATTCTCAAAATTATGGCAATGGAGTCTCTTATCACTTGATTGGTTCATAATCGTAATCACAGGATATGGATGTTAACTCGAAGGTAGAATTTTTGAAATTTCACCAAGGATATGTACGAGGAGTGGCATTTTCGCCTGTGGTAAGAATTAAACTCAAGTATGTTCTATTTGATGCTAGTGTGTGGAATGTTAATATGCTAGTGTGATTGTTCAGTACGATCTTAGCTGAGCGTTAGCTCTATTCAGTGTTTTGTCGTCATTTGAATACATAAAGAATTGACGCGTGGATGGGACAAAGAAAAATCTCTGTTTCCTCCGAACATTCGAAACCTAAACTCATTTTGAATTGTTGTGGACACTGTACTGTAATTTTATTGATCATTTATTTTGGCTGACGTGTTGGGAAACATCTCTTGAAGTTATTCATCAAAATTAACCCGTTCTGTTCTTCAGGATCGTTACATATTCTGCTCTGGTGCGTATGATGGTAAAGTTAATATCTACAGTGCAAAGAAATGCCACCTCTTGGGAAGTTATCCTGTGAGTATTTACAAAATAGACATGCACATTTGATTGACATATGATTTCGCTTTTATTTGTTTCTTTCACTCCTACATTTAGCGGCTCACTCAAATGGAAACCAAAATTAAGTATGTATTTTATGTAATAATATTCTTTCTTCATGGATAGAGAGTATGTGGTCAAAAAGTACACTCTGAAAAATTTTTAGGTAAATGGAACTCTTTTCATTGATAAAATAACAGCCTTCATCATTTCACACCGAGGATTGATCAAAAATGAACTTCTCCTTACAATATCAATACTATGTCAAGAAGGAAGGTATTAAGAAGAAAAAAATGTCTACCATGGGATATTGTTTGACTTAATGTTAAATTCTCAGAGTGAAAATTCACAGAAATTTTTGATATACAGTAGAGAGAATTGATGTATAGATCCTGGATTTGAATTGGCAAGATGGTTCATTGTAAATAGACACCTACATGGCTGGAAGTGTAGTGTATATTTCAAGCCTGTTAACAGGCTCTATTTTTAAACAAAAAAATTAAAATAAAAGGATTAGAAAAAAAAACATTTTCCACAACAGCAGCTGGTTTGATGAAATGTGATAAGGATGTTAAACTGTCTTTTAGTTGTTATTAGCTTTTCATTTTGTCATAGCCACATATATATATATATATATATATATGTATACACACATTGATCTTTAAAGATCGTTAACTTGAGTTGATGATACTTGAAATAATAATAAAAAAAACCATACCATTGCAAAAACAAAATGGGTGAAATTTAAACCTTGTACCGTGATGTTGTTTTTATATCACTTTTTGCTCAATATTGCATTTCATTATCTCTAAAAACATGGCAGGAAATGGTTTGGAACATCTGCGAGAG